AAAAAAAAAAAACAAAAAACAAAAAACAAAAAACAATCAGATTTCGCCCTCTGTGCAGGGGTAGGTACCTCAAGACCAGTGACCTCAGCAAAAAGAGAGAGAGAGAGAATTTCATTACCTTGATACTGTCTAAAATATAAATTTATATGCATTTATTTGATGTATTCATTAAATTCCTATTATGAAATAAACTGATTTAACAGGTCATTTGCAAAATTGCAAAAATTAGCCCTTGAGCTTGGAAACCCTATTTTTCATTCTTACCAGTGAAGTCGGGCTGGGGAAAATTGCTTTGATAGGTGAGCTGCTGGTCCCACCACTGCTCGGTGGGTTGATTCTTTTTTCTTTCTGGCGGCGGTTACAGAACCAAACACGAATCACCTCTTTTTCCATGTTGAGCTGATCAGCAATCATAGTGATCTCTTCCGAGGTAGGCTTTTGATTCTGAAGGGTGAAAAAACATAATTCCAAAAGTTATCCTTTGGAATAACTTTTTGAGCTACTGGCATAATCACATCAGTATATAAACAAACAAATGAGGAGGGACAGGCTAGAAAATGAAGCGGGGATACATATGACCATCCATATTGGGCCACTTTCAACAGAGAGATTCTGTAGATAGAAGTTCTAATGAACATATACTTACTAAACTTATTCATATTAACTTAGAATACATTATCATCGAATATCTGTATTTTTCCATTTTTAAGATCTATTAATTGTGAATAAAATTAACAAAATACCAATACAACCCTATGTATTAGTAGGAATTTAACCTTTCTTCATGCTATCTAATTTGGACCTCACATTAAGAAAGGCAGGTATTTCATAGATGAAGGAACTTCAGCTTAAAGAAATCATGTGATTTGCCCAATCACATGTTAGTAAGTGGCAGAGCTGATAAAAATTCCTAATTCAGTGTCCTCCTAACATGCTCAAGTCTTTTCTGAATTACAGAAGTCAAAATTTTCTTAAAAGCTTTGATTATGATATTGCCTGGCACAAAAAAATAATTGCCAAATATCTCTTGCATTAACTTAAGCTCCACAGCCTAACATTTAAGGTCGCTAGTGTTCCAGTCCCAAATGACTATTCCAGGCATACAGACACTAGAATTTAACCAACCAATCTACTAGAGTAACTCCTGGTACGCTATGGTTTCCCTTACTCAATGTTTTCCCCACTCTGAGGGGGAAACATTCATGTGTTTCCTCTACTTTAAGTACTTTCCATCCACTTTTTCTTGTCTGCGGAATTAATTCCTATGTATCCTATGGTAGCTGCTACCTCTCTCATACTGAGTGCTCACATGGGTATGATTCTGGTCTCCTGAAACTTGCAGAACTCTGGTTCTGTCTCCTATGTCATTCAGTAACTTACTTATTTCACCTATTACATTAAAATCATCCATAAGGGCAGAGGCTGACAGGTCATCTTTTATCACCTCCAGTTTCTACTAAGTACTAATGTTAAGTCCTACACAGACAATCCCATGTACAGAAAAGTAAAAACCTCACTGACCTCCAAGAAACTCTTCTCTAAGGCCACACGGATGTTGGTCTCTATGCTGGTGCGTTTCTTCCTCCTACGGCTCAAGCCCTCAATTCCTGGAGAATTCAGGGCACTTGGGCTGGAGAGGGACGAATCAGATGAGAGGTTCTCTGTAAGAATGAAGAAAGTACAGAAATAAAATAAGCTGAGCACAGTGATTCATGTGTATAACATGCATATTAACAAAACTGACAAAATAAGCTACATGCAAGTATTAAAAGGTCTTCACATAACCTATGTTGCAATATTGCTTATTGGCCAGGCACAGTGGATCACACCTGTAATCCCAACACTTTGGGAGGCTGAGGTGGGAGGATCACTTGGGGTCAGGAGTTCAAGACCAGCCTGGCTAACATGGTGAAACCGTGTCTCTACCAAAAATACAAAAATTAGCTGGGCATGGTGGCGTGCGCCTGTGGTCCCAGCTACTTGGGAGGCTGAGGTGGGAGGATCACTTGAATCCGGGAGGTGGAGGTTGCAGTGAGCTGAGATCGTGCCACTGTACTCCAGCCTGGGTAAGAGAGTGAGACCATGTCTCAAAAAATACAGCTTACTACTATGGATATTTCTGCTGCCCTTATTGGCATTCTTTGTCCTAGGATAGTTGACAATATTACCACTACTTTTGGATTTCTGTTTCTGAGAAAGAAGTTGTTTACTATTCCTACCCTTAAACTCAGCTCTACGTCTCTCATTTCTGTTTATAAATTCTGAGGATAAAAAGAAAGCTTCCTGGAAATTACTGAATGTTTAATATTTATTTTGTAAATGGCCTCTCATTTTATTGGTATAATCTAGGGTAAAAAGAAAAGAAACGAATGAAATATTTATAAATTCTTTGAAGTTAAATCACAGAGTTCTGTGATTTCACAGTTTAATAACCTTGGGCATATCAGACACATCTGAGTTTGTTTCTGCTACATGTAAAATAAGATGGAGGGAGTAAACTAGTCGTTTTTATCTGTGGACTCAGCAAACAGATGGCTAGGCCTCACCAATAGCTACTGAATAAAACTCTCCACGGATGTGTTTCAGGCTTGTCTTTTCCAAAGGCCTAGTTTTTGTTCACATCTACAATAAGAACCATAGTCTAAGAAATCTAGATGATTCCTATAGCTTTCATAGTCTATGATTCTGTGACTCAAAATCCAAATCTTCCAAAAGGAAATCTTAGCACAAAAAACGTAAGACAAAGCTAGAGGTCCAACTTTTCTGAATGAAACGTGTGGTCATTTGAAACAACAAAAGCAGAAATACTACAGGAACAAGTTCTATGATAATTCATCAAGGAATAAACAATAAGCTTGCACTTCAAGCTTATCTAAATACACCGGCCTTCTTATCCTATTCCTTCAACTGTGTGTGTGTTCGTAATCCTGGCTCAAATACAAGAATTATTTCGGGCTAAAAATTATTGCTAATTATTTAGACTATGACTACTAGAATATTTAAATGAATCAGCTTTCTGATTTACATCACCATAATTTATAATGATCATCACAGGATTAGTAAGCTTCAAGGTTCTATAGTAACAAAAGTAGAGTAACAAATATAAACCCCAATTTATATAACAACCCCCCTGTAAAATTCCAATGAATGACAAAGAAATGTCTTATATATTCACTTACCTGCATCATTTAGCCACTTCTCTAAAAGTGGCTTCAACTTGCACATGTTCTTAAAGCTGAGGTTCAAGGCTTCAAAGCGAGAGATGGTAGTTTGGCTGAAATCATTTCCATATAGTTTCCCCATAGCAAGCCCAACATCACCCTACACATAATACAGAGCAGAAGAGAGGAAATAGTCATCTCAATGCTTAAGGTCTTTACTCTGTGGTGTTGCTCCAATAACTGCTGTAGACAAAGGGTCAATAATTATTCTACTTACAGGGTCCCACATAAACTCCATCCCTAAGCCAGTCACAGCATTACTGTGAGGACTGTGTTAGGCCTGATCATTACAGTGTTCAATACTGTCCCACATACTTTCCTATTTTGAATCTCTTCTTGCCACCTTACACAATCATGGAGATACCAAAATTTCAACTAGGTATCAAATATAGTGCTGATATTCTAACAAGCCCCTTAATTGATGCAACCAAAGCGATTTTCAAGTAATCTTTAAAAATGAATTTATCTGGTCTAGGCATAGTGGCTACATCTTTAATCCCAGCACTTTGGGAGGCTTAGGCGTACATGGGTGGATTGCTTGAGCCCAGGATTTTCAGACCAGCCTGGGCAACATGGCAAAACATCTACAAAAAATACAAATATCAGCCAGGTGTGGTGGCATGTGCCTATAGTCCCAGCTATTTGGGAAGCTGAGGTGGGAGGATCTCTTGAGCCTAAGAGGTCAAGGCTATAGCGAGCCATGATTGTGCCACTGGGTGACAGAGCGAGACCCTGTCTCAAAAAAAGAAAAAAAATTTAAAAATAAAAATAATCTCGATCACCTACAGGTATTATATACAATTCTCTAGATAACCCAAGATATTTCTGAACTAACCAAACTTCCCAAAAATCACTTTAAAAATTAGAAATCATCTCTTTCTTCTTTTCCCTATCAAGTATTTCTGGAAGCAGTGAAAAAAAAAATCTATTTTCACTCCTAGTTTGGATTTCAAAGTTAGTTACAAAAAACAGGTATTCTAAAAGACTACTTTTGTAACCATCATAGAAATAGAAATTCACAGTAGAGAGGTTTGACCCATTTAGTCAAACCTTCATGGGCACTGGAAACTTGGTAACCTTATAGCAATAGAACAATGATGCCCTGAATATATTACAAAAGATGTCTTTCTCTGTAATCCTATAACCTTTGAAATGTATACAGAGCTTTTCTTCTTGCTGAATCGCTCTTGTTCAAGCTGGAAAAAAAAAAGCCATATCTTAATAGTTACTTTATACAGAGGAAACAGAAGTTCAGAGTTTAAATGATTCATTCACCCACTCACTCCAATTAGTTTATTGGCAGGGCAGAAAGGCAGCATCATTTCTTGTCCAAAGTACTATACAACTAATTCTAATATGAGACAGTCAACTATTCTGACAACACTTATTTTGCCAGAACTAGGATTATCCCAATCCTTTGATTTCCCTCCACCCCTAGTCCATCTTTTGAATACTACATTTTTTATTAGCACCTACATTAGGTGGTAGTTGGGTTAAAAAAAATAACATTTTTAAAAACTCATTTTCTTTTTGGTGAGCAACTTCTGGTAAAAAATTTAACAGATGAGACATGTTGGAACTGTAAGATAAAATGAGGCACACAAAATACCCGAACTTCAACTGATTGATATCCTCTGCCTTCCCATATAGCCACTAGCTACATGTGGCTATTTAAGTTTAAATTAATTAAAATCCAATAAATTAAAAATTAGGTTCCTCAGCACCACAGCCCTTCCAAATGCTCAACAGCCACAAGTATACAGTGGCTATTGTATTGGACCGCACAAATACAGAACACCCCATCATCACAGAAAGTTTTAATGACAGTTCTGAATATACTGAAGTAGACTGCTTATTGATTTCCTTCCAATTATGGTGAAACTGAAAGAACCAGAATTAGTGGTGAGCAGGGCATAAATGCTATCCATCACATCTATACTGTACACAAATATATCTAAAGATATAGATGACTATGTTTATCTATACCTATATCTCTATATATTTATTAAATGTCACTTCATTCAGGCCAGGCACAGTGGCTCCCACCTGTAATTCCAGCACTTTGGGAGGGTGAGGTGGGTGGATTACTTGAGGTCAAGAGTTCGAGACCAGCCTGACCAACATGGCAAAACTCCATCGCTAAAAAAAATACAAAAATTAACTGGGTGTGGTGCGCACCCCTGTAATCCCCGCTACTCAAGATGCTGAGGCGGGAGAGTTGCTTGAAACCCGGGAGGCGGAGGTTGCAGTAAGCCAAGATCATGCCACTGCACTCCAGCCTGGGCAATAGAATGAAACTCTATCTCAATAAAATAAAATAAAATAAAATAAATAAAATAAAATATATTACTTCAGTCAATCAAATATTCACTAAGTGCCTACTATATGTCAAGCACTAAACTTATGCTTTGTGCATCACATGTATTCATGTCATGGTCATCTTGTTTAGATTAGAGCTGGCGCCAACTAACCCTGCAATTCTTTGAGTATGAGAACTTATGTAGCAGTTAGATGGCAACAGGAATTTTCTGGAATAGTAACTGCACAGTATGCTACAGATTTTCACAAACTTCTATCTTACTTTAAAAGTAACAATTTAACAAGTAAAAAATAAATCTATAGCCGGGCAATAGGCTAAATATGCTAACCTTATACTTATTTCAGCTTTGTGACTTACTCCTACCAATCTAGTTTTATGTTTAGCTTTTTTATTTTTTTTTAAGGAGAGACCTCATCTCTCCCCAAAAAGAGAAAAAAAATTAGCTGGGTGTGGTGCATGTGCCAGCAGTCCCAGCTACTTGGGAGGCTGAGGTGGGAAGATCACTTGACCCCAGAAGTTTGAGGCTGCAGTGAGCTTTATTTTTGTGCCACTGCATTCCAGTCAGAGCTGACACAGACCCTTTTTCTAAAAAAAAAATAAGTAAATAAAAAATATATTAAAAAAAATCACGACAATAACTGTAAGAAATGATACCTAAAGGTGATGGCTAGAAATAAAGCTATGCCACTAACTAGAACCATGATAAAGTGACTTTATCATTTATTCACAATATATTTTATTTCACATTTAAACTGCTTGATTAAATAAAAAGCAACAGGCTCCTCAGTTAACATACTAATTTTCATTAATTTGGTACAGGCTTGGTTTAGTGCTCTTTAGTGATAACCCAATTCACAACCATCTTGGGTTATCACTCACAAAAGTAAACGTTTTAAGTAGTTGATTCATATATGATCTTAACTATATTAAAACCCTTTGATATTTTTAAAAAGAGCAAAACAAAAAAGAAACAAAGACTGGGACTGGGAAATAATGAATGTACCACATATGATAAATGTATTATACTATGATATGCTTTTTAATTGTGCAAAGACATCCATAGTAATCCTTTAATAAGTAATTACATAATTAGAAAGTAACTGTTTAAAACATCTAATAATATGTATATTTAATCAGAGAATAGGGATTTGTTTCAGCAAATAATTTGACTGGCTAAAACTGTGTGTGTATACAAATAAGTTGGACACAGAACAGCCTTTGAGTGACTAAAATTGAAGTATCTGACTTAAAAACAGAGGTTGATAGACTGATTTTCCATTCTGCAGCAGTAGTATGTACTTTAACCTACATAGTCCAAGTTTGTGAACCATTGCCCTGTTGTGTCAAAGTCATTTCAAAAAATAAGGAATGGTCATGCCAAAAAATAGGATAAAACCATAAAACAAAACACGAGACCATAAGGAAGCTCCTTTACCTGGAGGGGTGTGCAGAGGGGGAGAAAAACATAACACTGGCAATGTACTGAGTCAGATGCCACAGAAAGGCAAACCACTATTTCAGTAAAAGTTAAAGATTTTTAAAAGCCTTAACATCTTTGGCATATCACTTAGGCAACAATCTCTTAGAGAACCTAAGAGTATGCTGCGCTAAAAGCTTAAAACTTGAGGCACTGCTATCAATCTAGTGTTATGTTTAGCTTTTTCTTTTTTTTTTTTTTTTGAGATGGAGTCTTGCTCTGTCGCCCAGGATGGAGTGCAGTGGTGCAATCTTGGCTCACTGCAACCTCTGCCTCCCGGGTTCATGCAATTCTCCCTGCCTCGGCCTTCCGAGTAGCTAAGATTATAGGTGTCCGCCACCACACCTGGCTAATTTTTGTATTTTCAGTAGAGATGGGGTTTCGCCATGTTGGCCAGGGTGGTCTTGAACTCCTGACCTCAGGTGATCCACTCACCTCAGCCTCCCGAAGTGCTGGGATTACAGGCATGAGCCACCACACCCAGCCTAGCTTTCTTTTAAAACAAGTCAGATCATTTAAGATGCTTTGACAATATTAAAATGTTTCTGGATAATTTATTTCCTAACAAGTGAAACTTCTCACAAATATAACTGTATTTCCTCTAAAAGCACGCCTATTTAAAAAATCATTTTATATTCCCCAATACAATTCATTTCCTTGAGCAAAAATGAATTCCCAAAGAAATGTAAGTCTGGGCTGGGCATGGTAGCTTACACCTGTAATCTCAGCATTTTAAGAAGCTGATGTGGTCAGATTTCCTTGAGCCCAGGAGTTCGAGACCAGCCTAGGCAACATGACAAGACCTCATCTCTACAAAAAATACAAAAATTAGCCGGGTGTGGTGGTATGCCTGTAGTCCCAGCTGCTCAGGAGACAGAAGTGGGAGAATCCCTTGAGCCCTGGCGGTCTCAGCCTGGGTGACAGACTAATACCCTGTCTCAAAAAGAAAAAAAAAAAGATACATATGTATCTTTTTTATATAAAGATAGATATATATATATAAATGTGTTCTTAAAAACACCCACCCATCCCTTAACACATGCAGGGATGGTATCCTCAGATTTTGACCAACCAGGCCAGGGGGGGCATTACTGTACTTTCAACACAAAATAATTTGAATAATATTTAAGTAGTGGCTTAAAAACTTCAAATAGTAGGCCGGGAGCGGTGGCTCATGACTGTAATCCCAGCACTTTGGGAGGCTGAGGTGGGCGTATCTCCCGAGGTTGGAAGTTTGAGACCAGCCTGACCAACATGGAGAAACCCCATCTCTACTAAAAATACAAAATTAGCTGGGTGTGGTGGCTCATGCCTGTAATCCCAGCTACTTGGGAGGCTGAGGTAGGAGAATCGCTTGAACTCAGGAGGTGAAGGCTGTGGTGAGCCGAGATTGTGCCATTGCACTCCAGCCTGGGCTGCAAGAGTGAAACTGTTTCAAAACAAAACAAAACAAAACAAAACTTCAAATGGTAAGTATATTCCCTGGAAAGAAAACATCAGATTTTTCCTGATTCCATAAAAACACCCAATCTAATCCATACTTATTTTTTTGTTCACCTAATGATCTTATACCATTTTACATAAATAAATTTCATTCAGTTTAATTCCTTGCCTGTTTAAAAGTATCATTTGCAGGATGGGTGCAGTGGTTCACACCTGTAATTCTAGCACTTTGGGAGGCCAAGGTGGGAGGATTGCTTGAGGCCAAGAGTTCAAAACCAACCTGGCCAACATAGTGAGACCGCATCTCCAAAAAAATATGACAGTTAATCAAAGAGTAAGTCAATGGTAGTGCTTAATACAAACAGAAATGCTATATATCCAGACAACTGTTTAAATCATTAAATATATTCACTCTACTTTAAAAGTCCTCAGCTTACAAATTCCAGAAAATTAATTTGGATTTTGGTTAATTTGGGGTTTTCATCTTCTAGAGATTCTTAATCGGTTTCAGCACAGGCTTAGAGAGTGTGTGCGCCTGTGCTTGCATGCATGTCTCCATCACCCCCTCTCTTCCAAAACATTATTTTTATTTTTATTTTTTATTTTTTTAGAGACAATGTCTTGCTCTGTCACTCAGGCTGGAGTGCAATGGAGTGCAATCATGGCTCATTGCAGCCTCGACCTCTCAGGCTGAAGCAATCCTCCCACCTCAGCCTCCCAAAGTGCTGGGATTATAGATGTGAGCTACTGCAATCTACCACAAAAAACTATTTTTAAACAAGCCTTCTAAACGTTTCCCCTTTAGCTACTATAATATACCCTGTAATCTTGACTCTCTCAATCTTACATATGCAGCACTAAGGTCTACCGCCAGATATTCTTCAAATAACAAAATCCTCAGTACAGTCAAAATATCTCCAACACAATCTCTTAAACTCTCACAATTTACTAATATATTATGATTTCAGAGGCCTGTGTTCTGAAAGGAACCATAAAGCTTCTAGACTAACATTAAACCATATGTTAAAAATGCAGGAAAAGGCTAACGAAAAGGTACAGTTTAAAACCAAAAAACAACATGGCTGAGGAACACATTGTTCCTTAGAAGTCTCTTTGGACATACAAAACAAATACATTTGTCCCTCAGCATGCACAGGGGATTGGTTTTGGGACCTCCCTTGGATACCAGAATCCACTGATGCTCAAGTCCTCGAAATTATAAAATGTATATTTGTATTTAACATACATGTATGCTCCCATATACTTTAAATCATCTCTAAGTTACCTATGATACTTAATATAATGTAAATGCTATGTAAATCGTTGTTGTATTGTTTAGGAAATAATGGGAAGAAAAAAAGTCTATACAAGTTCAGTACAAACATGACCATCCTTTTTTGCACCCCTTACCCCAAATATTTTCGATTGGTTGAATCCACAGACGTGAACTCCATGAATATAGCCAGCCAACTGTATTTGAACCCAGCCAAGGAGGGCAATCAATGTAAGGCCAATTCACCCTACCTGAGTGAATCCAAGTTTGATTCGTCTTTGTTTGAAGGTCTTGGCAAACTGCTCAAGCTCCTCAAGGTCACTGGGCTCCTCCAAGCTGGGAGTATCAATTCGCTTTGGTGTTGACTGGCTCTGTGGAAGTGTCTGAATTGGGGTTGCTGCTATTGTGCGTGTTGGGGTTGCTGGCTGTTGGAGAAAGAATAAAACGATGAGGACAAATGTGAAGAGTTATTGAGGTTTACTCCAACTAAACAACTTAAGGAAATAGCCATATTCATGGAGAACTATGAAGACCATGTAACACTACAGAATGTACAACAGTTCAGTCAGCAAAGCAGACAGTGAAATTATGTATACTGTTATTACAAGGCTAAGCATGTAATTCTATAGAAGAAAACATGAATATACAAAAATAAAATCTATTATAACTGGGTTTTCAAATGATCTGAATACCTGTATCTTATGTCTTTTAATAAATTACTCTTTATTTCAGAAAATCTATTTCATAAGTCTGGCACTTAAACTGTCAAAACAGTAGAGAGTCTGTCTTGTTTATCACTATCACATCTCCTACCTGTGACACAGTGTTATAAAAATAGTATTCAAGATCATTAAAACTATTTTAAGGGGAAAAGTAAACCACCTGTAGTTTAAATAGCTTATAACGGGTTTCACTTTTGTTTATCTCTTCAAGTTTTTTCCCCAAGGACCTACATTTTTAAACCTTTTACTATAATTATGGTATACATAATTTTACTCTGCTTGTCTCACTGAACATTGCTTAACTTTTTTCTATGGTATTTCAGTCTTCATAATTATCCTTTTAAAAAACTAAGGCAATATTCTTATAACAGTTTTTCATTTATGTTTTCATGAACATAGATAACACAATGAAAAAATTTATGCACATTAGTTATTTTTTCCACCTATGTGTGTAACTAGTTCTTTTGAGATAAATTCTCAAGGGCTTTTTGGGTAACTAGATAAACAATTTCATGGCTTTTGATATCATAATGTTGATTTCCACTCTGCAACACTCTTCCACATGGCTTGTGTTAGCAGTTTAAAAAAATGTTTTGCTAATTCAAGAAGTAAATGGTAGTTTCCTGATGCCTTAATTTGTATTTCTCTTACTATTCAATGTCAAAATTTTCTTATGTGTCAATTATTATCTGTATTTCCTTGGATGTGAATTGGATTTATGTCCTTAACCTATTTATATATTAATGATACCCTTATTCTCATCCTTATCCTTAGAGAGATCCTCAAATTTTATAGAGTAAGCTTTGTCATATTAATGCAAATCCTTTTCCCAATTTGCTTTTTTCCTTTTATTTTTCAGTGTACATAAAGCTTTAAATTATCATTTGGGTGAGCTTTTAATTTTCCTTTCTAATATATCCCATTACTTCAAATCTGAGAAAGCTTCATTTATTTCTAACACTGATAAAATTCCTTTTAATCTGCTAGCTGCTTCTATGTATTGTTGAATATTTGAATATTTAAATCCATGTATAGTCTATTTTTGGACATGAGAGTAGTCTTTTTAAAAATAAAATACTCAATTTTCTTATCACACAAACATAAGGTTATTCTATTCTATTCACAAGCCCTGAGTGGAACACACCTCACTAGCAGGAGGTGCTCCCTGACTGCATCTTAATTGCTCAGCTGATCCCGTCTGTGAACAGTAGCCCAGGTGAGCGATTATAAACCAGGATTACAGATAAAGTCTGTGGCTGTGAATTTTTCTTCTAATTTAGATGAGCTTTACCTTGTGAGTCAAGGCTTCCTCCAAAGCAACTCACTGGCCCAGAAAACTACAGAATAAGCATTATAGAGGCAACAACTGGAGTTAAGTTCCTCTCTTATCATCCTGTTTCAATGACAACAACAAAGTTCATTTCTATGTCACGCTGACACTGCGTAATATTCAACCTGACCATTTTGGAGGACCCAAAACCAGCACCAACCATACTAGACTATGTGGCTGTACACTTCAAACAGCACAACTGCTTGACAGGTAGAGGTGACTCTTAACTATCATATTGTTACTTCATCTCCAGGCTTGAAGTAGCCCCATTCTCAAATAATAAAGGACTAAAAATAGCTTGGGTACCTTTAGATGGGGTGGTTACAGATAAGTTACCCCAACTCCAGAAACCTCAGGCTGGACTGGGCCAGATCTAGAAATGGCAGAGTAGAATTCAGTGAGCAGGAGTCAAGATGAAGCCACAATAGCCCTGCCACCGTATGCAGAGCATGCAGGCCAAGGAGTAATGTCTGGTACAGACCTTTTTCAAAACCCCAACCTCACTCTTACATTCAACATATTCACAAATTCACCATTTAAAAGGGCACAGTTTATGTTCTGGCAACTATATACCGTCACACAACCGCTACTACAATTAAAATACAGAACATTCTCATTACTCCCAAAAGTTCCCTTGTGCCCTTTGCAGTTAATCCCCACCATTAGCCCCTTGTGCCTGGCAATCACTAATATGTTTTCCATTCCTACAGTTTTGTCTTTTCTAAAATGCCATGTGCATTGAATCATATTATATGCACTCTTTTATGTCTTTTTTCATTTAATATAATGCTTTTGAGATTCATAGGAGATGCATGTATCAGAGAAGCATGTTTCTTTTTACTGCTAAGTACCATTCCATCATATGGATATGCTAAAGCTATGTTACCTATTCACCAGCTGATGTGTATTTAGGTTGCTTCCAGTCTGAGGTGAATGAAGCTGCTATAAACATTCACATACAAGTCTTTGTGTGGACATATGCTTTTATTTCTCGGAATAAAACTGCTGGGTCACAAGGTACATGTACATTTAATTTTATATAAGAAACTGCCAACCTGGTACAGTGGCTCACGCCTGTCATCTCAATACTTTGGGAGGCCAAGACGGGCAGATCACTTGAGCCCAGGAGTTCGAGACCAGCCTAGGCAACATGGCGAAACCACATTGCCACAATAAATACAAAAATTAGCTGGGCATGATAGTGCACAACTGTAGTCCCAGCTACTCGGAAGGCTGATGCAGGAGAACTGCTTGAGCTTGGGAGGTCAAGGCTGCTAGAGTGGGCTGTGATTGTGCCACTGTACTCCAGCCTGGGGAACAGAGCAAAGCCTTGCCTCCCCATCACCCCTCCAAAAAAACTGACGAAGTAATTTCCAAAGTGTGTGTACCATTTTGCAACACCACTAAGCAATGTATGAGAACTCTAGTTGCTTTACCTTCTTACCAACACTTGGTTTTGTCATAGCCTTTTAAATTCTGCTTATTCTAGTGAGTGTGTAGTGATATTTCATTTAAATTTTCTTGATGACTAATGGCTTTTGAGCATCTTTTCATATGCCTGTTGGACATTTACGTATCTTCTTTGGTGAAGTATCTCCAATTCTTTTGCCACCCATTCCCTTAAATCAGATTGTCTTATTGAGTTGTATGAGTTTTTTAGAAATTCTGAATACAAATCTTTTATCAGATACATTGCATAAAAATATGTTCTCCCCATCTGTGGTTTTCTTTTCATTCGCTTGAAGAGCAGCTTTTATTTTTATGAAATTAAATTTATCAACTGTTTTTCTTTTATGTTGCTTTTTGTGTCCTATTTAAGAAATCCTTGCCTCACCCAAGGACACAAAGATTTTTACCTAAGCTCTTTCTCTAAGTTTAGGTCTATGATCTATCAAACAAATCTTTGTATATGGTGTGAAATAATAGTCAAGATTTTTTTTTTTCTATTGTTTCGGCAGCATTTTTTGAAAGAACTTTCTTCTTCCCACTGAAATCCTTTGGCACCTTTGGTAAATCAGTTGACCATGTACATATGGGTCTACTGGCCCTTCTATTCTGTTCCACTGATCTCCAGTTCTATCTACATGCCAGTATTACACTGTCTTCATTATTGGAGTTTTATAATTATTCTTGATATCAGGTAGTCCTTCAACTTTCTTACTTCTCAAAATTGTTTGGTTATTCTGTGTTTTCTTACAGTTCCATATAAATGTTAGAAACAGTATGCAAATTTCTACAAAAAAACCTGCTAGATACTGGTTTAGACTGTGTTGAATCTAGAGGTCAATTTGGGAAAAACTGACACTTTTAACAACTTAAGTCTTTGATTTATGAACATATTACAGCTATTTTACAAGTCTTTAATTTTATGCAGCAATGTTTTACAGTTTTCAATGTATACAGGCCTTACAAATATTTTGTTAAGTTTATCCCTAAGTACTATAATTTCAATTTCCAAATGCTCACTGCTAGTATATTGAAATGTAAATGATTTTTATATATTGACTATAACATTGCTGCTAAAGTTACTTATTCCAGTAGCTTGTTTTCTTGGTAGATTCCATAGGATTTTCTACATAGACAGACAATCATGTCATCTAGCAACTAAGATAGTTTTTCTTCTTCCTTTCTAATCTATATGTCATTTATTAATATTTCACTTTATCTTATTGCATTACTAGCACCTTCAGTATAATGTGGAATAAAAGTGGCAACTGGTCATTTTGCCTTGTTTATGATCTTAGAGGGAAAGTATTCAGTTTTTCATTAAGCATGATGTTGGGTTTGTTTTTTTTTTTTTTGTATATACTCTTTACCAGGTTGAGAAAGTTACCTTCTATATCTAGTTTGCAAGAGGTTTTTTTATCATAAATGGATGCTGAATTCTGTCAAATCGGTAATGTGTTAGTATTAAGTAATAACTTCCATACTGCAGACAAAGAAAGTCAGAGCTGGAAGGAGATTCAGGATCAGCCAGTTCAGTCACCTAATCTACAGATAAGACAACTGAGGTCCAGAGAGGTAAAATGACATTTTCAAAGCAACAGCTATATAAGAAGCAAAACTAAAACTTAAACTTCAGGTGCCTAAGATTGTTTTTATATAATTATAGTGTTTACATGGTCTAGTGGAAATGAGCTAAAGCAACATCAAAGCACAGAGAAAAAGAAAATACAGAGATCAAAATTTCTTTGCAGATAAGGGTTAACAATGGATTATAACTGAAGCTAACTAGCTTTCCAGTTTAAGTGGTAATATCTACTGCCAAGTATGATGAGGGGAGGTGTCACATAGATACAACTCATTACTCATTTACTGCTAACGCAGTTACTCTTTATGAACATATAAGAAAATAGGAACTCTGAAGATTTTCAAAGACTGTATTGATTTGGTAGCAGTGCTTTACTGAGCTGATAAGTCTAGCTTTGATTTTCTGGTCAGTTTTTGAAGACTGAATTATTTTTATTAGATTTTTTAAAAAGATTAAATAAAGTCCAAAAGTCTCCCCAACAGTATGATAAGAGAAAGCAACCGTCATAGAAGAAAACTGACCTGGGAGGTGAGGGTGATGCTTGGCTGCGACTGTAGGAGGTTGGCTTGGCTTTGCTGAGGTAGTTGCGTTAAAAGATTTTGCGCTTGCAGGAGACCTATAGAAGGAAAATATGTTATGCCAGAAACAGTAAAGATTTCTTTGAACACGTGGCAAAAGAAGGAAAGAGTAAGAAAATGAGCTGAAAATTTCCAGTTGATCTCTGGTAGTCTTACTTGTATCAAAACTCTTGCTGATCTTATTTGTCTTACATTCAATCTTGTTTTACAACTTGGGAGAGAAGACATGGAACATTAAATTAGAACTGATATGTCTTTAGCATAATCTGAATAAGCTCTGTGATAGGTCAATTCTTTATGTTAGGGAAGAGTTAGATGAAAGTAAAAAAAGAAAAAAAATAGAAACCAAAAAAACTATTCTAAGTAGAAACAGCTGGAAATTCCAAAAAGAGCTTAACTTAACCTAGACTCCATTAGAAACTGCCAGTATATGTTGAACCAGAGGAAAAAAAGCATTTTCAAGTTCTCTTTATCAAACATTTGCCTATGGGTGACAATAAAGTTGAAATGCAAAATATTCTACTAATATCTGCAGTAACACTGAACTGTCTTAGTTTAAAATAATTGATAAGTAATGCCATCAACGCTTCATGATAACAACTGACATTCAAAGTAGAAATGCAAATTCTCAATGTGTTTGTAGAAGATGCTCAATTACTTGAATACCTGTATATGGTTTTTAATTTTCAGAACCTGATGGAGAGGACTAACTCAGACTGTCTGTATATAAAGATTTAATCTATAGTACCTAGTTACAGATAAAATGCTATTGCTAAAATACTAAATACAGGATTATGTATGCTGTGATAAAAGCAATTGTAGAAAGTATTAAACAAAGCACCCAAACAAAAGGGATTTTATCATTTTCTTTCGGACAAGTGATAAGATTATCTGAGGCAACAGCTTCCTAATTATGATTTCCTTAGGTTACTAGTTTGGATACGTTGGATGTTGGAATATGTAGGACAACAGCCAAAACACTTAAGCCTACCAGAGATTAGCCATAGAATTTATCACTTATTTATAAGTAACTAAGTACTGCCTAATTTTAAGCTATGAAAAGGTACTAATAGTTATTTCATAACGTAGGTCACAAATAAATATATTAAATAGATTTGAATTTTTCTAGAGAACTCTGACTTCAGTTGATCTGAGGCAAGTGAAATATATATGGAAGCAAATATGATTAAATAAAATTCAGTATGTATTACTACAAACATTTCTTAAACGGCCAATTTATGGAAGTTGGCTTCCCCAAGTGTCTCCCTATAGTTCAATCTCCATATAATAGTTAGGGTGATCTTTATGATCATATCATTTCCCAATTATATTAGAATCAGAATAAAATCTACACAGCCCTAGTCTGGCCCTGTCTCGCTCTCACATCTCATCTCCTACCACTTCCTTTGACTCACTGAACTCAGCTACTTTGGCTTTTCTTTTCTTGGATTACGTCAAGCTTGTTCCCATCTCAGGTGTTTTAAGTTCCTTTGCCTACAAGACTCTTCACTCAGATTCTAGGTATAGTAATGTGCCCCTCATCCCTCAGTTCCCAATTCACATATTGCTTCTCCAGAGAGGCTTTTCCAGACCATAGGCCCATTCTTTTAGGCTGTTACCAGATTACTATGATCTGCTGAACTGCTTAGTACTTATTGGTATCTAAACCACTTGTTTAAATGTTTATTATTCGATGTCTCTTAATGAGGGCAGGGCCTACATCTTGTTCAAAATGTATCCCTGTTAGAGCACTATATTACACAGCAGGCACTCAACGAATTTTTGAGTGAATTAATTAAAATGTCAAATTTTACTGGTTTCAAAAACACCGAAGGGTAGTCTAGAGAGAAAAATACAAGTAAATTTTATGTTAACGATTAAAACTAATAAAATTATTTTGAAAAGGCTAAAGAATATTCAAACACAATAATAAAAAAATGAAAGAGAAGGTCAGGTGCAGTGGCTCATGCCTGTAATCCCAGCACTTTGGTAGGCCGAAGCAGAGACTGCTTGAGGTCAGGAGTTCAAGACCAGCCTGGCTAACATGGCGAAACCCCATCTCTACTAAAAATACAAAAATCAGCCAGGTGTGGTGGCACACACCTGTTATCTCAGCTACTCAGGAGGCTGAGGCAAAAGAATTGCCTGAACCCGGGAGGCGGAGTTTGTGGTGAGAAGAGATCATGCTACTGCACTACAGCCTGGATGAAAAAATGAGACTCCGTCTTAAAAAAAAAAAAGAAAGAAAGAGAAGAGATGAGCAGAAAGGTCAGAAATGAGGTCCCATTATTAAACATAGGCTATTTCAACATAGCAGTTTCTTTAAAGTTTAACAATGAAAGTTAGTTTATTTATCTGTAAGAGACAAAAGCAGATATTTAAAAAATGATTCTGATTCCTATTAATCAGCAATTATAATTCTAAAGATTAATTTTGGTTTCTTGTAGTGTATTACATGAGCAAATTCAAACCTTAGGCTTTACCCCAAAACAAGGTCAGCTGAAAAGGCTGAAAGGGTCCAAAGAGGTTTAGAACTTTTTAAAAAAGTTCTAAACTTTTTTAACCACCCCCCCCATGCTTGGTGGGGTTCGGTGGCTCACATCTAGAATCCCAGCACTTTAGGAGGCTGAGGCGGGCAGATCATCAGTTCAGGAGATACAAACCATCCCAGCTAACATAGTGAAACCCCATCTCTACTAAA